TGTTAATAGGCAACGTAAAAGCGGAGTTATACTAAACTAAAAAATGACCTATTTTTAGACAATCTTATAACTTGTCAAAACAGCGGTTTAGTAATCTGTGAGCGGGAATGTGCTTGTGAACATTAAAAACCCACAAAAACACGAGATCCTTTTGCTGTTGGTAGAAGTCTCACATATTCAGCTGACAAAAAGTATTATGTAGCTGAGAGAGAGAAAGGAAGGCTGCACGAGTAACGAGATATGCGCAAAAAGGAGCCGCTTCGCAGGGAAAGTAGTGGCGCGAACGGAGTAACAACAAACAATTAGACAGATATTGACGGTAAACTTTGTATTTTGGAGCGATCCGGACAGATATATTGTCGCTGCAGTTTAGTAGGCTTTTACTAGGCTTATATAAAGGATGATGAGAAGGATAAATGTCCACCAGGCAGTTCAGATAGTACGGCTGTTTTTAGAACTGGAAGCAGAGGAAGAGGACGGAGACTCGCAGCCGGAGTCTGAGGCAAATAGCGAGGATGTTGATGATGATGTGGCAAATCCATCCTTCCTCATAGAAGAGTTGGGTCATGATGAGGTAGAGGATGAAGGAAGAGATCCAGCTCCTCAGAGATCCAACAAGAGGAGTGGGCGGCGCCGCGCAGCTGTCAGATCTCGGCGTGAGACGGAGCCACTCTTCTCTCTCCAAAATCCATGTATATTATTGCCAAATTAATAAATAAGTATAAATTCAGATAGTCCAGGCTGTCCTGAAATTAATGATACCCCATAAGGCAATATTTATTGTTTTTATTAGAAAATACAAAAGACAAACCAAAATGAGTCAAAAACGGTGATTTACACTCTGGATCCCAGAGAGCTAATAATTTTTTTAAATTAGTTATTTGCTATATTTAGTCATATTTTTTATAAATGTACAGTCTAGATTACCAGTCTAAATGATAAAAAACATTCGTCATAAATGTTTGTTGGTTTCACAGTAAAATAAACAACTTTTTTCCTATTCAGATTTTATGTTTTTGAGTGATTTAAGGTCTAATATGCAACCCCTTTATGTCCAAATATAAAAAATAAGCATAGATTCATAAAGTCCAGGTTGTGCTGAAAAGATTGATACCACATAAGGTAGTGGTTATGGTTTTTATTTTGGAAATACAAAGGAAAACTGACGGCAAATTACACCCTGGACCCCAGAGGGTTAAGGCGCCACCCAATGAAGGACGTCAGAGAAGCGGTCAGAGTCAGAGCAGGACACAACAAAGCTAGCAGGTGTTTTTGAGTAGGCTAACTTTCACGATGCTTTCGGGTGTGGCAAAACGCAAAAAAAAAAAAAAATGAAGAGGAACTAAAGAAGAGACAGCGGGGGGCCTTACAGAAGTTTCTGTCGGGCTGCTCGGGCAGCCGTCCGACAGCTGTGAACATGCTCGAGTCAGCAGAGCCAGAGGCCGGGCCCGAGCAAGACCCGGAGGAGACACAACCCGAAGACGCAGTGGAAGATGCGGCGGAAGACGATGTAGCGCCAACGCCGTCAACATCAGCGCCTTCACAGAAGGACAAACTGGAAGAACAGCAGCCAGCCAGAAGTGAGCCCAATATAGTCTTATAGGAGCCTCTAGACCCAGACAGGGTATTAACAACTAGCTACCCATCTGATCCTGCAAAGTGGTACCAAACTGATGAGTACTTTGCACTAAACTATCCCTCTCAAAATATTGGATATTCTTCTGCATCACAGAGGAAATCTGGAGACATAGACTGAAGCTTAACCAAGGAACATTTCTTTAGGCGTGTTTCTGCTGTGACTGAGGCCATGTGATGCTGGAAGGCTGAAGATTATCCCGGAGTAGATAATGCTAAATGGTTTCCTTGGTAAGTGTTGCTGGTTTTATTAATTATTTGTCAAATAATTTTATTAATGTTCAAATAGCAAAACAATAAGTTCACACTCAGAAAATTGACACAGAATTTCTGATTCAGCAGAGGCAACAGCCTACAACACATGACTTATTTTGGCATACAAACAACCAATTTGTAACCAAAAACTAGGCTATGTAAAATGTGAATGAACTTTTATAAGTAAATTTTGTAAGTTTCAGATTTCAATTCATTACATAACATCGATGGAGGGGGGAGGGGGGGGGGGGGGCCTAAAAATGCAGCCTGCCTAGTGTAGTCCATTTATTTAATCCGGCTCTGGAAATGATATTTTCTTCTTCTTCTAAATGGCCACGGCGCCCGGCTACGATTGCAGCGGTCTGAGGCTCTGCTTGTAATTTAACAGTCCCAGTCCAAATTAGATCCCCACAGGCGACCAGCATGACTACAGCCTCGCACAGGCCGTGCGGGTTGGCTATCCCGGTCCGGGCTTCTTGGGTTAGCCAAGTTAGCTAGTAACTACATTGGTTCATTTGTTCCAACTCTTAAAAGCACCACCCTCAGCTCCAGCTCTTTTCACATTTTGTATTGTCTGGGCGTGACGTGGGAACCTCCCATTTTGAAATAAAAATGTACAGTTTGAGTCTATGGACTTTAATTGTCCAGTGTATACAGTACAGGCCAAAAGTTTCGACACACCTGTCTCATTCAATGTGTTTTCTTTATTTTGATAATCATTTACATCGTTAGATTCTGGCTGAAGGCATCAAAGCTATGAATGAACACATGTGGAGTAATGTACTTAACTCAAAAAGGTGAAGTAACTGAAAACATGTTTTATATTCAATTTTTTTTCCGAAATAGCCACCTTTTGCTATGATTACTGCTTTGCACACTCTTGGTATTCTCTTGATGAGCTTCAATACATAGTCACCTGAAATGGTTTTTCAACAGTCCTGAAGGAGTTCCCAGAGGTGTTTAGCACTTGTTGGCCCCTTTGTAAATGTTCATGGTCATGAAAATAAAGAAAACACATTGAATGAGAAGGTGTGTCCAAACGTTTGGCCTATATTGTTTGACGATAAGAAAACATGTAAAAACTAAAATTTTTGGTTCATGAAAGTTAAGTTTTGCCTCAATAACTGCTGGTAAAATGATGCTTTGCTGCGTTTTTTTGTTGACAATATTAAAATAAGGTAGGTTTGTCCTATTTCCCTGCCTCTGGATCAACTAATCCGTGTGTGTGTCAGTAGCGGCTCCAGAAATGTTTTTCTGCAGGTGCTATGAAGGAGCTAGTCTTTTATTGAGGGTGCTATGAAGGAAGTGGTCATGCGTACCTATTGTTCTCTAAAACACCTTCAACACTAGCAGACACACATGCGTGCAGAACTCCTCAACAACACCTGAAACAATCATTAATATACATCATAAACATGGGAACAATCGCTGACTTTTCCATGAAATCATAAACACATACAGCCACACAGAAAACCATCTATAGTGTTGCAAGGTTAGCTAACGTTAGTGTTAGCATTTCCAGCGGCTAAACCCTGGACTGCTGCGGCAGTCGAGGGTTGACTCTCTTCATCCAGATCCGTAGGTTTTTGTGGGTCTGAGATCACTTCCAAACATTCATTCGTTTCTGACTGAACCCGTGGAAATGTGGCCAACAAAAACCGATCTATCTTACCGCTAGCTCTACCTTTCACTCGTTCTCAGGTGGAAAATGAGGTCAAAGGTTAACATCAACTTCCTGTTTTGGTTTAAGTTTTTACTATCTATATGATAATTTACTGATTATTTTTGTTTTGTATGTTAAATATTATCACATCCACACATTAAATTAAAATTAAATTGTAAAAAAAAAATCTAATATTTACTTGGGGGTGCAATGACTAATCCAGGGGTAGCTATAGCGCCCCTAGAGCCCCCCTGGCACCGCCACTGGTGTGTGTGTGTGTGTGTGTGTGTGTGTGTGTGTGTGTGTGTGTGTGTGTGTGTGTGTGTGTGTGTGTGTGTGTGTGTGTGTGTGTGTGTGTGTGTGTGTGTGTGTGTGTGTGTGTGTGTGTGTGTGTGTGTGATAAAAATCTAGGAAGCCTGTGTTCATCATGAACGGCATTTGATCAAACAGCGTGTTCATCAGATAGGACTTTACTGTCGCCCTGATTATTTAACTGAGGATGTTTTCCTGAAACCAGGTCTGTATGACCGATGTCACTTCGTCTTCCTCAGAAGCGCATCTTTAACCACCTCTAGCTGCAGTCGCTGAGATCAGAAATGGCTGCAACCTGAGCAATTAATCTGCGTATTTCCAGTAGAACATGTTTGCCGAAAGATTTTTGCAATAATCAGATTTTTATTTTTCTTCCACAAAATGCAAATTTTTGTCTAGATGTTAGAGAAAATGAGGACGGCTTGCCAACAAATAAAAAATCCGCCTCTCGTTAATTACAAGCCATGCAGGATGGCTTGCTGCTTCCAGGCGAGTAACTTCCAAGTGTGTCGTGAGCTACCGGTAGCTCACAAGCAAAGTGTTGGAGACCCCTGCTCTAGATTGACACTTGGGTTTCTGGAAAACTGTATTTAATTTAGCACCGACTTGATCAGTTTTAAAAATACTGTAGTTTCAACTGACAACACTGTGATTTGCTGCAGTTTGACAGCTTATTTAGGACAAGAAGAGACATTTGTAACTAATATGTTGATGTTTAAGAACCAGTTAACATGTGTGGGCATGCCAGTGAATTTGTGGTGTTGGTGTGCTGGTCATTGGGCAGAATTATGTCCACTTCTTGTATTGATATGTTTTTGTGTTTTGTGATAAGCTCGCATTTTGTGAAATATGGTGGTCAGTGGTGCATAGCTTTGCTGTGCCTCCCTCTTTCATGTCTCAGAATCAGGTGCTTTTCAAAACAAAAGCTGCACTTTTTGTGTTTTTTATTTTATTTTATTTTATTTTTTGCTGCATTTTTTACTTCATCTCTAGGGTTTTCAGTTGTTAATGAATGGATTTGCTGTGCTCTGAGGACTGGATTGAAACATTTGGCACCTGCTTTTCGGTTTTCCAGAGGTTAGTTTCAGTTTAAAGGCAGTGGCTCTGTTCTGAACCTGTGTATCTCTTCACCCAGGATTCCAGCCCACTACGTCTACCCTCAAGCCTTTGTCCAACCCAGCGTGGTGATCCCTCATGTGCAACCCTCTGCTGCTTCAGCAACAGCAGCAGCTGCTGCTGCAACATCCCCGTACCTCGACTATACTGGAGCAGCTTATGCCCAGTACTCTGCTGCCACTGCTGCTGCCGCTGCCGCTGCTTACGAGCAGTATCCTTATGCAGCCTCGCCAGCACCCACAAGCTACATGACTACTGCAGGGTATGGTTACACTGTCCAACAGCCGCTTGCTACCGCTGCCACTCCAGGAGCTGCTGCTGCTGCAGCAGCCTTTAGCCAGTATCAGCCCCAGCAGCTGCAGGCAGATCGCATGCAGTAAAATCCACCAATACAACTTTTACTGTGGAGAAAATGGGGAGGTTCACTGACTCCTTAAAATGAATGAGGTAAATTGATAGTTCACATTTTTTAAAGTGGAGTTCAATGGAAAGTGTTTGAACAATTGGTTTCATACCTATTATAATATTTCTGCTCAGAAAAGCTTATTAAGGGATCGTTTACAGCTACATGCAGGTCTGGAACTACAGAATCTATTCATTCTAAGTCGTTTTAAGCTGTCAGAGGTTCACTTTGGTCTTGTCCCTACTCTGACAAACCTTGAATTTGTGCATCTGATCTGGTTTTGTTGACCCCTCCCCCAAACCAAGCATTTGTACAGGATCCCAAACTGTCCCTTTAGGAGAGGCAGACTCTTGGTTCTAACTGAGCAGATTTTCTACCAAAGAGCCTGAAGGGGAAATATGAGGGTGGATAATAAATAGCTGCATAATTTTACTCAAGTGAGATCAGTATTGGATGTAAATGAATATTTGATATTTATTTAACATTAGCATATCTCACGTTAACCGAACGAGGCTAACTGGCTCGCATGTGAACATTTATCTTTATATCGTTATTAATACACTGCAGTGCATTTATGTCTTATGCAGGTTTTTCCCCAATACAAAAAAATAACATAACCCTTGCGTCCACATGAGAACAGTGCTTTGTCCTTCAGTTTTCAGTGTTTTGGACCATGTTTTTTGTTTGTTAAAGCTGTACACATTAGGGAGAAAAACAAAGAGGGCTGTTTCTTCATTTTTAAGGAATTGGAGTTAGAGTAGCTAACTGATATGCTTCCCTTTATAGATGGAACATAGTAAAAATTACAGCTGAAGCTGGAAAAAGCACTCAGAATAATTTCTCTATTTGTATTACATTACAGGTTTACAAAATGGGGAATAAACACTGTTGAATGTGAATTGCTCATTTTGATAAAAATATATGATTGTGTTCCTTTTAAATTATGATATTTATGTATTTATTCTGGAGCCTTAGAGCAATAAACCCTTTAACACATTTGAACATCTTCATATTTGCTGCTACATGTGTCATGATGGATATGCATGTGCTGGAATGTAAGTGTGGTTTATCTAAGTGCTGTTCTGTACAAAGAACACGTTCAAAACATTTTTTCTGTTTCTGTTGTTTAGGTGTTGTCTCTGAGGTTTGTGACTCTTGAACTAATCTTTTTATACTTGACCAGTTTGATAAAACAAAGTAGTTGCATGAACAACTTTTTAAATATTTCTAACATTTTTGTCTAATGACATTAAAAGTTTTCAAATGCAGGGAGAGCCCCTATTTTACCTTGTGTTGCATGATTCAGAATAATGTAATTTGGGAAATAAAATTTTATTCATTTTCGAGTTTTTTTGTCGGTTCTTTTAGGAATCGCAGCTTGCATGCATGTAACGCATTTGTTTTGCAGTTATGGTACAAGAAAAGCCTAAGCATTTTCTGTCATTTACCATAATAAATCATCTGAATCTTATTGGGACTTAAGATTACATAAATACAAACATCCTACAACATGACCCAATATACTGCATCATTGTTTTTAATAATAAAAATATTTGATCAAGCCATACTTGGAAAAAGCACACTTGCTGAATCTGAAGCTTGTAAAACAAGAACTGAATTTCTGTCTGTAGCTTAGTGAAAAAAATTGGATCTGCTCTCATTTTTAATGAATGAATTTTGAGTTAAATGAAAGCACAGCACTTACAAAGTCCCCATAAAAGAGGAATAATGCGAGTGCAACACAAGCCCTTAACATTGTAACGTGGAGGTGCTATTCCTCCGAAGGTTATTTACCCTCTCTCCACAGATGCCTCTGACACAGAACTAATCTGCATGAGACTGCCTCAAGGTCATGCATTTGCTTCTAAACTGCTTCCTTTCCAGCTCAAGAGAAGAATGAAGAAAAAGGACTCTTTCCTTTTAATAAATCAAAGAACTCTATTTTTAATAAGGCTAATCAAACAAAGTGTTAGTCAATAATATGATGTTGACCAATCTGTGAAATGATAGTTTTTATTAATATGCTTTAATACGTAATTTGACTTTAATCCAGCTGCAGTAGACATTCTGAGTACACGTAATGTAAACACATGACACATTGCTTTCACTGATCCAATCAGAACCTTCCTTTCTGAAGCGTGGCATAGTCTCTTTGGTGTTTATAAATCTGCCAACTTTGATTCGACCAGAAATCAAAACATCCAGATTAATAAAACCAGTCCCCACGTCATCTTAATTTCAGTTCTCAACGGTTCTCAAGAGTTCACAGGAATTCTCTGGAGCTCTCTGTAGTTCACCGCATGCAAAGTAAAGTATTGGACCGGCCACCCGGACTTCCTTTTTAAGCAAAGAACCAACAAGCTGGATAAATTCTGTTGCATTTTACCAACCAAGCAACGGTTCCTTTCAGAATAAAAGCTGAACTCGCTGACCCAAGGGGGGTCCATCTGACGCTGTGAACCAACTGTCGCTTTTTACCTGGAAACCAACCAAAGACTAGCCTGTCGTACTGCTGACGCTGTTTCATGAGCTCCAGTGCCAAAGGGGGGTCCTAGGACCTGGCAGTCTGGATCTGTACGGAGGTCTCATCTTAAGGGTATGTGTGGAGCGACAACATGGCGTCGAATGTGTTTATGAAACTCCGATCAAACTCCGATCATAGGTAAAGAAAAACATCACAACATCATTCCGACTTGCTTCTCCAGATACGAGAGTTCTGATTTCATTACTCTCACATACACCATTCATCTCACGTCTCATTCAAACCAGATCCATTCACTTAGTTAGTTAATCTTGTTTAAAAATCTTTAAAATTGTTTAGAAATAAATCTTAAACGTTTTAAAGGTGACTCTCTCTTCTCTTGTCTCTCACTTAATACAATTGTTATATAATCCCTGCAATAGAAAGTTCCAATCTTCTGGTTAAAATAACCCAACGGTCCCCAAGATTGATTTCATATTTACTATGGAATCTTATGTCTCACGGTCAGGGGTGGATTTAGGACTGAAGAAGATCCGGGGCTTAACACACACACGTGCACACGTGACACGCACTAGTCAACAGCATATGTATTTATGTCTTGTACCACATAATTTTTAATCTGAAGCTACATATTAAGCATATTCAGGGCAGAATATTGTTCCTGTTTGTGTTTATTGTGAGATGATAGTAAATATTCCCTTTCTTTCTCCAACAACTTTACCTGATAGTAAGCTAACTTTAGGCAAACCAGCAGCACAACAAATATTTTCAAATAAGACTCACAAACCTGAGTCAATACCAGTCTCATCAAAGCTGGGGTTCTGTCGTTGTACTTTTGGTCTAAAAAACGTCCTTATGTCCATCTTCACTCATGCGTTTCAGGCAGAGAGTGTAGAAGAAGCCAGCTGCTGAAGGGCTTCTTCTTCAGTGGTGGAGGCTCAGGCAGGCTGTATACAAAGTACTGCCAGCTGCTCCCTCTCTGTTGGACTTTGGTACTGCATGTTAGTTCCACGATTTAGATCTGGGGCTTTTCATGAAACATCCGGGGCTTCAACCCAAGTAGCCGGGCCTAACGCCGCCCCTGCTCACGGTCCATTAATTAGATGTAAATTAACTCCTTTACATAATGGCGAGCCATTGCCAGATATTTGTACATTGTTGACACTTTGTGCTAAGTCTGAGACATATTTAAACAGTTAAAACACTTTAAAATTATAAACTTGATGTTTCTGGTTGAAAACGAGATGATCTCGTAATCCACCACTAGAGAGCAGCATCTACATTTAAAGAAAAGAGGGTGTGACTCCAGTCATCCTCCAACAGGAGGCGCTGTTTCATCTCAAATCATCTAAGGCTGACGGCAGCCATTTTGAGTTTCTTTTTTATTATTTTTTTTTAACCGTGCCCTGTCTGGCTGTGAAGCAAGCAGAATTGATGTCTGAATGCTGGTAACAAGCCTTACAGATTTATTCTCAGGTGGAGCATCAACACGTCTGCTTTAAATGTCACGCCTGATACTTCAAATTTTATTGTCATTGTTTTTGAATGCTTTGTAATTCCGACCAGACACGGAGACAGAGGTGAAAGAGAAAGGAAAAGACAAATGGTGGGAAGGGGGGGGGGGGGTTCCACAAAAATAAACAATAATGAACAAGAGTGCTTCTAGACCTGCAGTAAGAGAGGAGCAGAAAAAAATGGGACACAACAACAATACATCAGGAGCAAGCTATCACTGCGTCAACGTGATGATGAAATATAAAATCAACATTGTTTAACTGAACAATCACACGATAATAAATCATAGTGCATTTAGTGGCAACGGCAGCCTTAAAACAAGTGTTGAACGTGCCCAAGCCCATACTTTGAGAGCAACATGTGAGCACCTGTGTGTGTACACGCGCTTGTTTATGTAAGGTTTCTCTATAGGAGCGTCCAATAGAGTGTGAGGGACCACAGATCTGCCCCCAAAGATGCTTAGGAGGGGTGGGGGTGGGGGTGGGGGACGGGGGGGTGGGGGGTGGGGTGGGGTGGGGTGGGGGGGGGGTTCCAAGTCCCAGAGATCCAGGCGCTGCCCCAGAACACAGGAACCCCAAGGGGACTGCAACCAGAAAGGCCCCCCGCCCCCCTCGAGGGGCGCAGAGGATCGCCCTGGGGGGCCACAACCAGCAGCCGGCAGAGTCCCGGGAGTTATCAGCGGCAAGCCCACAGGCCCGCCCGCCGCCTTCCACCCCCTAGCCGGCCGAGCCCGGGACCCAGCGACCCGGGACCAAGGGGCGACCACCCCCGCCGGGGACCCAGCAGAGCCCAGGGACCCAGACCCCACCAGGCAGCCACCGGGATTGACCAGGCAGGTGCCAAAGATCTTAAACCCCCTGACCCGGGAGCCACAAACACTCAGGCAGACCAAGGCACCACACCCCACACCAGGTGTGGCAGGGGGAGGGCAGACGAAGATCTATATCATCAAAGGAGGTACCAGGAGAGGGGAGGAGTCAAAGGCCCCACTCTCTCCCTCATGCTCACACATGCACATACAACCAAAGACTTACAAAATGCACGCCGGACACCCACTCATGCTCCCCATACACACCCTATTCACTCTGGTCCCGGTACTGCTGCACACTGGGTACAACCATCACCGGTTACCAGAGTTTGACCCTTCCTGCCGGGGTGCTGATGAGCAGGCTCCCCTGCCCAACGCCAAGCACAGCAACCCACCACCCCAGACCCCAACCAGACGGCCAGATCTCCCTCCTAGTCTCCAGCCCCAAGAAGCCAAGCAACAACAGAGGTGTGCTAAGACCCCTAGTCTCCCTCCGCCCGCTCCATTATAGTGTTGTGTGTTGATGAGGTGTATTCCATGGCTGTGGTGAGCGGGCAGTGCAGGCATTGTCTGGCCTATGCCAGCGGATGCCACCGCACCACCCCACTTGCACCCACAGCACTCGGTGTCTAAGTGCAGTTTAAAATTGGAAGTGGGCAGCGGCACTCGGGAGGAGGCTGAGAAATCCCAAGGCCCTAAGTGTGTGTTTGCGTGGAATGTTGTCGGTGGAAGTGTATAAGGTGCAAATAAAATTGGGGGGCAGGTTGCTACAGGAGTGCGGAAATGTGGTCTATACCTGCACTCCCTGAGTTGTCCACCCCCCAAGGTCCTATGTGTATGTTTGTGTGATGATGTGAGGGAGCAGGAGGAGAGAAACATGCGGGGATGGGGAGGAACGGCTGGTTGGGCTTAGCCCTCCAGGGAGCCAGCTCCCCCTCTGGCCCCAATAGGCACCTCTGTTGTCAAATTGTCACCAAGGGCACGGAGACCCCAGCCCATCTTGCCAGGGCCCAAAGCAGCAGCATTACAGAGCCCCACGGAGTCCGAGGGCACCAACCCAGCCCCACCCCAGCAGAAAATCTATGCCCATCCCTGCATTTGCACAACTTCCAGAACATATAAGACATAGGACATCCAGGTAAGGTTGGGTCCTCCCCCTCCTGGACCTCCCCCTCCCCTGTGATGGAACAACAGAGGAGCCAAGGTCTACCCGAGGCCCCTGAACCCGGGCCAGGCACTGCTGCATGTTCCTGCCTTCTTCCCCGCAGCATACATGTCAGGACCCGACCCCGAAGGCCCCGCCCAGATCCCCGCACGGGGCCGGCCACCCCCACACCCCGGGCCCCCAGGCCCCCACCCAGACCTGCCCAGGGGCAATGCAACCACCAGGCAGTGACCCATGGCCGCCGCCAATACCTCACGACCGCCAGCAGTCCACCCCCCGAGGCAACCCAAGCACCACCAGAGGGGGGCAACGCCCCCCCCATTCCCAGACACCCCCCAGTGAACCCACCTCCAGGGAACATCCGGATACTCCAAGC